AAAAAGAAAAAATAAAAAAAATACGCATCACCATAACACGCATCACCCACGCCCTCCACCCAACGCCGAGCTCATGCCTATCTGATCCCAATCACCATAACACGAGTCACCCACACCCTTCACCCGACGCCAAGCTCATGCCTATCTGAACCCAAAAAAAAAAGAAAAAAAAAAGAAAAAAAAAAAGGGCACGATTCAGTAGAGGCAAAACAAGGCAAACAGCCCGTCTGCCCCAACCATTCGATCACCAAGTTGTAACCGAAGAGTTTTCCCGCACGTTCACACTCAAAAGCAACGGAACTCCGGTTCGACCACCCAGTCTAGAAAATAAGTAAAACAATACAGGTTACGAGGCAGACCAGCATCCTCTAGACGCAAGCATGGCTCAGACCTACCAACAACGGTACAGCGCGGTTGCAGCCACCAAAATGGCTACTTCCAAGGCTCCCTCTCAGAGTACATCCAACGTGGACCACGAAACACTGCGTTTCCTTCTGGAAGCACCGCAAATCAAAGGAGAGAAAGTCACGATCAAGGTCAGAAACACCAAAGATAACACGGATGAAGAAGTGACTGCATGGGCTTACTCAAAAGACAAGATTGCTGACACCAACGCGACGTATGAAAGACACGCACTCATCTTCTCCTTCTCTAATGCAGGCGCAAGACTCTCCCCCGTCGAAAAAAGAAAATGGATGGTGAAAACCATCCAGGAGCACGAAAATATTATAACAGAAGTGGACAAGTTCTCTCTGCTCGGCCTGGGCAGGAACATGATGATCGCAGTCTTCAAAGATGCAAACCAAGCATCACATCTGTTAGAAAAACATGAAACTTTGAACTGCAATGGCTCGGTCTGCACACTGTCACGATGGAAATCGGAAACAGCCCAGCGAGCTGAAGTCTCGCCGGCGGCAGCCTACAAACAGCGACTGATGAGGGACGCTTTCTGGGTACAGTTCGATAACATCCCCCCCAGAGGTCACCCCCTGATCAAGGATCGACTGGAGGTGGAATACCCTGCCACCAAGGTCCTAAGATGGGTCCTTCCCACTCCCGATTTCCTGGCCCCCCACTGCGATTCAGTCACAGCAATCCTGGAAGTGCTCACCGACGACCCCCCAGTTTTCCCAGAAGAATGGCAATGCGTCATTGGAGACAAAGTCTCATCTGTAACAGTCTCCACCAAGGACTCGCCGATCTGTTTTAGATGCAAAGAGAGAGGCCATCTGGGCACGAGCCCCACATGCCCGCGCTCCACTCAGCAGAAAAAACTCAGACAGAACATGCTAGTAGAGGTGGAGGAAGCGAAAGGGATCTGGTTCGTCAACGGCTCAGAATATGATGGCTGGGTCTTTGATGACAACATCCCAGAACCCAAATGGATTTGGACATACACAAACATCACCTCGACGGTCAAACAACCAGACATCTTTCCCCCATCGAACAGCAAATGGCATCATGTGGGAGCGAAGAAGATCACCGGAATACCAGGGACAATCCACTCAGATCCGATCATCGACTCTCGAGCAGTTAAGGAAGAGAAGAAGCATGAAGACCTGATGTGGGATCTGGAGTCGATCCGGCAACAAACGGCTGACTCTTTCCCCAACTCAGAGGATGACAACAGCGTCCTTGACAAAGCCAAACAGATTATCGACGGACGCTATCCACTGACCGACCCCTCTCTCAAAAGACAGGCCTCCCCCCAAAAAGCAAACAATGACGAATCCAGCGGGAACAAAAAAAGAAAAGGCAGTATACACACAAAAGGAAGTAACCCCTCCGGCGATCACAACCCCCAGGCCTCCCTTTCGGAGCCAGGCCCCAGGCCAGAAACGGACCACGACCTGTCCCAGAGAGGTATGGACATATCTCCTACCAAAAAGGACCAGGCAGGGAGATCAAAAGACAAGGGAGACTCCCCCATCCCGTGGCTGCAGGAATACCTGGAAAAAGCCAAAAATGAGAGGGAGAAGGAGTTTGACATCCGGGTGGCGTGCATGAAACATCAGGAGAAGACGGGTAGAAACAACATGACCTCTATAGCAGGCATTCACACATCAGCAAACTCGTATGATGTCCTGAGACAGCAGAGCGAGCTTTCGGAATTCAGCGCCTTCAGATACCACGAGAAGAAAAGAGAAAGAGAAGCCTCGGGCGACGAAGCGGAGTCCAGCGCAGATACACAGTCCAGCAGGGACCCGATCAGTGATATGGTCCCTAAAAAGTGGAAACCGTCGAAAGGCAGGGATAAAAGATCCAAAAAATCTCAGCTACACACCACGGGCAAAGAAAGCGAACAGAGATCCCTCAAACGAGAGATAGCCATTGTCGCCGAACAGACCAAATGCCTGTTCGACCAGAACGAGGAATACCGCAAAAAACATAAAAAAGAATACTGCACAATCCAAAATGTCGTTGAGAACAAGGCTCCTTATGTCACTGAGAAAGCAGCCTCTGACCGCAAGACCATCAGGGCTGTCAGACCCCTGGTCCCCGTCCGCTACAGGAAGAAATTCGGAGAATGGCAAGTGGCCACCGATGTATCCTTTGCCATTCCGACAGTCGGAGACCAGCGGACACTGGCCAGAACCATCAGAGAAGGAATCTCTGAAGATTCTCCCTTGGGGGTCTTCAGAATCCCCTCCTTTCATACAGAGAACCTTGAAGAGACAGACCAGGATCCCGATTCAGCCAAGTCCTTCGAACCGATACTAGTAAAAATGGAAGAAAAAGCTAGTTTGCATGATGGACTGGTGTGGAGGGCATGGAATACGGTGACAGCTCTGCCGTACAGCACCCTTGCAGGCAAGAGGTGCCGGACAGAGGTCATCGCTGAGTCCCTGGCCTCCATCATCAGATCCCGCATCCTCTCCACGGAAAACTCCATGC